CCTTTACGCGTTGGCGACGGCGAGTACCGCAGACGATGGAACGATGAGCTGTATGAGCTTTACAACGATATGGACATAGTGCAGCGAATTAAAATACAGCGGCTCCGCTGGCTTGGTCATGTCGTTCGAATGGACACCGACGCTCCAGCTCTGAAAGGAAGAGGGAGGCCCCCGCTGCGATGGAAAGATCAGGTGGAGAAAGACTTGGCTTCACTTGGCGTTTCCAATTGGCGTCAGTTGGCACAGAGGAGAGACGACTGGCGTGCTTTGCTGAACTCGGCCAAAATCGCTTTGGCGGTTACAGCGCCAAAAAAGAAGAAGAAGAGAATATTTTTGCAATATTTGTATCCTTTAGCATAAAAAAATTTAAACATTTGAACCGAACCGAGCTGCGGTTCAGGGAGACTCATGAACCGGTTCTTATACCGGTACAAGTTTTTTCTAAGTGGTTCGAACCACTGAACCGAAGTGGAGTGGTTTGCAGGCCTGATTTTAAATATTGTTTCTTTTTAGTTAACAATAATAGATTATTGTAAGAATTTAGCTTTGGATGTACACAGTTATTGCACCCTTTGCTATTGTTTATACTCCGCTTGCGCATTGTTAGGCTGTTTCTTACCCTGTTATACATCCCCTGCAGCGGTGTCGCATTCAATTGTCGCTTTCGTACTAGTTACAAGTTCCAATAGCATAATATGCTCCAGGTAGTAACCTATCGAGGTATTGGTTACATATTGCACTTTCTAAAGGTTATTGGCCGTTTTAATATAATAGTGCTCCATTATTACATAAAGGAATTTGCTATTTATCATTTAAATACAAATAATAAATTTTGAATACTTATCCATGTTCTGTTTCCCTCGTGTGACCACCATGCAAATATCGGACTGAAAAGTACCCAAATAAAGCTAAATAAAGCTATACATATGTACATACATACCCCTTTTTTTACATAACTACTACTTTTTAAATTATTTTGGTTTCTTTTCAAATATGTTTATATAAATGGGGCAATTCAAGTCAAATGTCCCAGCGCTCTGAGCGGTGCAAAACAAGCTACTTTTCGACTAGCTGCGAAGCAGGCAGAAAATAGGAAAGAAAACTATGATTTCTATAGATTTTTGTACGGGCTATGCGATGACACCATGATTCAGTAATAGAAAGGTTTTGTAATAAAACAGTATTCTCGCTCCCACACATAAAATCGGCTCCTTTACTTGTGCAGAATGTTGCTGACTCTACATTTTCTAGTTATATTAGTAGTAAAACCAAAAATTCTTCTTACTAAATATTCGTTGGCATCACCTTCGTTTGCGTAATTTGCTAGAACAAGTTTAGAATAGCGACCGTAACCACAAATGCCTATAGAAAGAACTTTTTACGCTGATTTCAACGATACCAAATTTATTTGGCGTTTTATTTGCTTTGTTTATTTATATTTTTTATTATCACTAAATTCTTGGAACACAAAAGCAGATCATGAAGAAATATGTACATCGAATTAAAGATAATAACTTCTGCTTCCTAAATAATGTAAATTTCTTTACCATTAATTATGCAGTTTTTCAAAAATGGTTATTTCACGAAAAACAAGATTTGTACGTTTTTTAGTGGTTTTGGTCTAAAAATATAAAAAAAAACGTATAAATTATGTACATCAGCTGAAAGATAAATTAATTATTTTTATGATGGCGTCATTAGTTTTGTAATCGGTTTTGTAGTTCCTAAGATATTAATATTTGAAAAATCAAAAAATGTAACTTTAACCTTCCAAAACGTCTTTATTTTTTTCTTGTGCCAAATAATTTTGGAATGGTTGAAATGAGCGTTAAAAGTTCTATTGATCTGCATTTTTGTTTTTGCATAGCTGAACGGTCGGTATTCTAGATTTGTTCCAGGAAATGAGGAATAACTTAAATTAAAAATGCGTATTTCCACATATTGTTTCGTATTTCCATTAAAATGCCAAATAAATAGCAAATTCACATAGAATTAATAAATACATATTTTACTTATAATTGTATATTTTGCGCCCTTTTTTAGTACCTTTCTACTACCGTTTTCGCAAAAGGCGACCACATTCTTCCCCTTTCTCCTACTTCCAAAATACAAATCCAGATAAAGGAGTGTCAAATTTGAGCTGTCAAAAATTACATAACCTTGTGTTATTGAATCATGCGATGGCACTAGGCGTTTTCCAAAATTTTCCCATTTTCATGGTGAAAATTCTGAACGAAAATTTATTTGTAATTTTTCTGAATTATGGTCATTTTTAATATTGTTTACGTACCGGTAGGTTTACGTTCTTGACTAATTTCAGCTTAACGGCCTTACAGAAATTGAGAGCGGTGAGAGAATCAGGCTTGCCAGATTTTTGTTTTTGTAATTCTCAAAAATAAATGACCGCAAACATATTTGTTTGCTTGAATTTTTTTGATGTGGCATCTTAGGCGGCAAACTGTCAAAGAGCTGAAAAAGAAGATATATAAAAACAAAATATTCCCGCTTCTGGCTTAAATTGATGTGTTGCCTAATCATTGATGATTTCTTACGGTAAGTTGAACTAAGTTAAGTCTGGACTAACTGATCTTTAACAATGGGCAAACGGAGGACAAAGAATGCTCCTGCTCCTCTCTTGTCATCTACAAAATAATAATATTGTTTACTTTGCTATTTAAAAACAATTCACTCGTACCTTTTCTTCGTTGTATGTTTTTTTCGCATAAATAACCAAACACGCAACCCCATCATATCCGCTCTTCGCTCGTATTTACTTGCCGAAGTTCAAGTGTGATCTGTAGTGCAATTCACTAACTTTTAACGATACGATTTGTCGAGGTCTAATATAACGATTTTTGTGGTTTGCAGTAACGATTGTGTTATTCGGTAACTCTTTTTTAACGACACTAAACAGCTGACATTTTCTTTTTATTTCAATACAAGAAAGGTGGCATCACAGCTTAACGAAACGTCAAAAAATGCGAAAAGCACAAAGAAGAATGACGAAAAACAAATAAATTCTTTGCTTGCAAAGTGGTATACACATAGATTTCTGAATATTTTAATATACTTTTACAAAAAGTAAGTAAAATAAAATGTTAATTTATTTTGTATTATTAGACATAACCATTTTCGCATATTATAGAATGGCTTCGTCAGTACCCAATATTCAAAAGAGAAGCCGGACCACAGCAGAACAACTAAGTCGCATGGTGGACTTTTTGACGGAAACGCCGGGATTGGCAGGATCAAGGTTCCAGAAGCTTCATGGAAAATCGGACTGCGACAAGAAGTGGAGTGAACTAGCGTCAATGCTGAATAGCCTTGGTGGTTCGGTGAAGAACGTCGACCAATGGCGCACAGTATGTAAAAGTTGTTTAGTAATTTAATACCACGTTTAAAATTTTGTTTTGCAAATAGGTATGGAGGGATTTGAAGAGCCGTACTAGCATTAAGGTGCGTGATAGGAAACGAAAGCAGGCAATGACGGGAAACAATCCCATTAATGAAGAGCCACCCACTGAGCTTGAGAGGCGTGTGATTGCTCTTGTCGGTAGCGACTATGTGCAGGGCCATGAAACTGTTGCTGAAAGTGTGCCAGTGGAAGAGGTAAAAAGCAAATAAATAGTTATGAATAGCACAGCAGTTAACAATTCTTCTCATCATTAGGAACTCCAACTGCGTATGGAAGAGAGTGATGAAGTGTAATCATCGAGATGCCATCTATTTCTCACGAAGTGAGCATTGAGATGTGCACATCGACTCCTGTAACTCCTGCAGGAAAAACGCCACGTAGAGGAGCCAAAAGAAGGCGTGTGGACGGTGGTACCGAGGCCCAAAAATCGTTTTTGGAAATCGCTCAGACCCAAGCAAATGCCTTAAAAGTAATTTACTTATTTGTAACTTTACATAAGTAAAATATCATGACATAGTTTTTTCGGTTCTTTTTCAACAGATGCTAGCAGAGTCGAGTGCAGCGAATGTACAAATAGCAAGTAGACAAGCAGATGCTTTGAAGGTAATTTTTTGTATATACTAAAAAATAGTATTACATTCGTATGCCCTTTCAACAGTTGTTAGCTGAAACAAGTACGGCGAGTGTGCAGGTAGCGAAATCGTTGGCCGAAGCTATGACCACAATGGGGGAAGGTTTAAAGGCATTGCGGATGCCTTTAATAATTTAAGAAACGCTACCTACCGCAGTAAATATTGTGTAAATATGTAGTTTTTGAAGTATTTTTTGTTTTAATATTTATATTAGTTTTAAGCGTTTTAAATATAAGTTGAAGTTCTTTTTTGTTTTTATATTTATGTTAGAGTTAAGTTTTCATTTGATAGAGCATGAAGTTCCTTTTTTTTGTATTTATGTTAGAGTTAAGTTTTAATTCGACATATCATGAAGGTAACTTTTTACATTTAGAATAACTTTTAAAGATATTCGAAGATGAATTTTTACATATTTGAATTGATCTTTATTTGTTTTTAATAAGCGAGTTATTTGAAGTTCTTTTGATTTTCAAATGAATTCAATGTTTACAAATTTAGTTGATAGAGAGGTATACTGTACTTACTGCATGTAAGATATACCACATATATTTCTTATATACAATAAGTAATGAAATTTAATTTTGTGAATTTTTGTTTTAATTTTGTGATGTGCCTGTAACTTGAACGTGCCACACCATATCATATTATAGAAACTGATCTGTGATTACATACTGAGATCTGTCTTTTGATGGACCCTATATTTAATGAATATTTATATATATAATTCTAGACTTAAAAAAAATTTACTCAAATTAAAGACAAAATAAGACTGAGTTTTTATTTATGTACATAAAAATGTTTCATAAAATGCCAAAATAATTTTATTGTACTCCTTCTGAATTTTTATTAATCAACGTTTTATTCATGTAAAATAATTTGCAATTAGCCGGTCTTGGACGCGTTTTGCTGTTGAAGACGGCGCGTCTTGATTTACATTACTGCTATGTGTCCTTGGCTCTAGGAACTCAGTCTCGGGATCGTATGTTTGGTCACCCAATCGCAAGTTATGCAACACTGTGCAAGCATTTACTACTTTTCCAGTAAATCCAGGATCATACAAAAGAGTCCTTTGCTGAGATAAGCATCGCCAAGTTCCTTTGAGAACGCCAAAAAGTCTCTCGACTGGGTTTCGAGCTTTGCACAATGCCTCATTGTAGCGGAATTTAGGACACCCTTCTGGTTGGTTTGGTAGAGGAGTCATCAACCACGGCTCCAAAGGATATCCTGAGTCACCTGCAAATATATATTGGACATTTTCAATTAAATTGATTTTAATAAATAAGTTTCAGTGGATTTAAAAAGTTACCAATCAAAAACACGTTATGGTTTCCATTTTCAAAACTTCGCTGCATAACTCTCCGGACTGCAGAGGAGCTCCAAATAAATGAATCGTGTCGCGCTCCTGGGTATTTAGCATTGACAGCCAAAATCTTTAGATTTGGATCACATATCTATATTTGTATAAAATAAAATTAATACTCAGTAGTTTAACCCTTGAGCAAATTTTACTCTTACCATTTGCACATTGATAGAATGGTATCCATGGTGGTTGACATACGCTTCTTCATGATGCTTTGGGCTCATGATTGACACATGAGTGCAATCGATAGCCCCAATAGTACCTCCTACAAATGGTGCGGATGCTGAGGCGAAAATTTCTTTTGCAGCTTGCCGCTCTATTTGGGTCATTGGAAACCTAACCTTTGCCAAAAACATGGTGCGGTTTATTGCATCCGTTACGCGATGTATACAGCGACTTACGGACGACTGGCTCATGGATATCCCCCATTGCTCTCCGACTGGACGTTGATAACAGCCAGTTGCGAAGAATCGCAAGGCAGTTAGAACCTTTAAAATTTACAAAATCATTTAAAATTGAAAAATACTTGAAAATTACATTATTTACCTGTTTCTCTGTCGTTATCGCAGTTATTCTTCGACCCCTTAATTGGCTATCAAGCTGGGAAACAATATCTTCAACCAAGTCTGGGGTTAATCGGTAAAGGTTACGAAACTCAGTTGCAGCCAAGTCGAAAGGGTTGTCCACTTCTCGAAGCAAACGTCTATCCACTGATGAAGAGCTTATTATCTCCTCATCTTGGGATAAAACGTATGCCAAATACTCAAATGCCATTTTTAACAAAAAGTTTTTCTTTTATATATTACTTAAGTAAATTCGCGATCTATATTATTTTATTTTAACTCAAATGAAATATCAAATTTTCTTTTGTCGATGCCGCTAACAACTTCAAAATATTCGTCGTTTACTTAACGAGTAATCGAGTAGTTAACGACAACAGCTGATCAAGCGATAGCGAATATCGTTAAAATATGTTTAGCGAATTGTCAAATCGTCAAAATCGTCGTTAAGTTTTCTTAACGATTCGATAATCGTTAAAATAGAATGGCGAATCCCACTACTGATTTGTGCGACATTAAACTGGCTACATACGACGAACATCTGCGTGCACATGCGCGGCTTGCGGTGCGTGTTCGTCGTTTGAAGGGCGGTTCACGAGCATGCTCGCAAAAAATCAAAAAAGTTTGATTTTCAGCGAGCATGCTCGTCGTTTGTAGCGTGGTTTGCGAGCATCGTATTGGAAACAAAAACAACAACCTCATTTTGTGTTGATGCTTGCAGTGTGCACATCGCGGATAAATGTATTCAAGCCATGTGCGTTAATTGAATTTTTGATAAATGAGGCTAAATTACTATATGTATATGTATGTACATACATACAAGTAAAATATAAATAAATTTAAGTAGCACATACATAAAAAAGCTAAGTTAACCCTGCAAAAAATGGGACTAATCCGGGATGACTCCGGAAGCAATCGCAAAGGAGCATGCGACTAATACCACTTTTGATCTCTTTATATGGAATGAACTGTTCGCTTTTGTTCGAGCATATCCTATGAATAAACTAATTGTTCCCCTCTATACCCGAATGGGTACAAAAAGCGACTAGTCACTTTAAAAAATAAAAATAAAAATTTGCGCCAGCTGAGATTCGAACCGGGGTACTCAGTTTTGTTAGGCGAATACTCTCTCTGTGTGCCAACGCAGCACATGAAATTTCATTGACTAAGTGCGTACATATCATTAAATCGTTAATAGTACCCGTTAGAGATGAGTTGGGGACTAATTGATCTCCAATTATACCCATAAGGGATGAGTCGAGACTAAATGACCTCCATTAGTACCCGTATGAGACTAGTTGCGACTAATTAATGCCCAATTGTACCCGATTAAGAATAATCTTGGAATACTCTCTTTAGAGATTAGTCGCACAATTTTTTGCAGGGAGAGGCATTGCAATCGCATCAGTCAATTAGTGGAGAAAAATGCTGCGCGAACAAATCAGATGGATTTGTTCGCTGTTAGGGCCTATCTTTAGCTCTGATCCAATACTTTTCGTGAAAAATCCTGTAAAACTGTCAAACAGCAAAATTACTCTCTGAAGTGAGAGTAAAAAGTGAGTAACAACAAAAAGTAGGGGAACAAAAAAAAAACATTTTTCCTGTAAAAACGTCAACCAGTGATTGCTTGACACTTTTCATGATTTTAACAGAAGAAAAAGTTCGGGAAAAATCTTGCAACTTCATTCTCTACACAACTCTCCAAAATTCGCTCTCATTTACAGGATTTTGGAGAATTTTGGAGTAGGGGAACATTTTTCGTGTAACTTCCTGCAAGTTCGTGTAAAATCCTGTAAGTTCATGGAGTACTGGATCATAGCTTATATGGAAGAGTCGTTTCAACTTTCTTGCTTTGCTTTTGACATTTTCGTTGTTTCCCATTTAAAGAACCAAAACCTTGAATTCAACAGAATTTATGCATGCATGAATTGCATACTCAAAAAAATTTTGTTTAAACGTTGAAAATTTTGGTGAAAATTTGTTGAATTCGATGCAGAATGAACTATATTTCTATTGAAACTTAACGAAAAAATTTATTACGAAAAACAATACAGTACTCCGCCAAACAATTAGAAACAATACTCAGATATTTATATTTTCAAGTCTATTCTACTTTATAATTTTTATTATATTTTTTATATAAAATGTATTTTTTATATAAATGTATACAGTAAACCATCTAAATCAAAGCTTTAAATTTTGTGCAAAACTTGCGAAAATTCAACAAAATTTCAAAAAAAAAATATCATCAAAATTTCAAACTTTTTAATCAGAATTTAAAAAAGGGTATAGGTCAGAGGTTCCCAAACTTATTTTTCTCGTAGACCCCTTTCAAAATTTTACTGGTTTCGGTGGATCCCCTGATGATCATTTCTAACACATTCCCAAAGCTCGTCAAAAATTTTAAGATTAAATCTAACGATGTAATTTTGCATCGCGGGTGAATTCCAAAACTAAATTCGGAGTGGCAAAAATAAAAATATAATATATTCTTGTGTTCTATTTATTAAAATAATGTGTAATGTAAAATAATTGCAAGTTTTCAAAAACAGAGCACGTAAAGCGATGAAAGAACTATCTCGCTCTGAGGAGTTATATTTTTTAAAAGCACTAAATAAACTCATCACATGTTCGGCTCACTCATGAATTTGCATGTGATGTATTTGTCAAATAGTTTATTTGTGTTGATGGCATCATTTTTATTTTTATCGCTCCGAGTTTTAAAGAGATGCGAAAAATATTCGCCACTCGTATTTTAAAAAAACAAAACTTGAAACATAAAACTGCAAAGCTTTTTACGCCAAACTTCAAATTCAGAAACTGACAAAAAAGAAAAGACCGAGTCTAGATAAATCTATGATAAACAAACAATCAAGCAAGAAGCTCAAGAAGTGTTCCACCGTCTCATCCTCTTCAAATCAGGATGGGCAAATGGAGTTGTCATTTACGCCTATCACAATTAGGTGTTTGTGCCACGTTAAGTGACCAGTAAGCAATCCAACAAGTTGTCTGCGGTCTAGTCTGCTCAGTGGGAGCAAAAAAGTAGATAGACCTTCTGAGATTGAAGGCAACATGAGTTTTGCCCACCTAGTGCTATAACTGGTTGCGGATCGAGGAATGCCTGGTCTAAGCCAACTGTGGCCATAGAGTTAGATGTCTCATTTCCAGGCACTCCCGAGTTGCTCGGCACCCAGAGTAAAGCAAGCTCGTTATCTTTACCAACATAGTTTAGTCGAGACTTGCATTTCCGAACTAGTTTGGAAGTCTTTAGAGAGGGGACCGGCCAATGCCTTAAGTGCAGCTTGGCTGTACCTGTAGACAAGTAACTTCCTTCCCTTCCACCCATTTTCCACCATCAAGTCTATGCCTTTGGGGATTGCAAACACCTCAGCCTGGAAGACCGAAGCATATTCCCCAAGAGAAAAAGTGAAGCTTATCCCCATTAATTTCGAAAAATACTCCAGATCCTGACCCAGAGTCAGTTTTGGAGCCATCAGTGAAGATTCGACAATGTACGACCGCGGGCTCAGTGCTGGAATTAAACCAGCATTCCCCCTCATGGAACTCTCTCTCGCTCTAGAATCTCTTCAACAAAGGTAATGGCTCAAATACGTGCCTCCGCCAATTTCCGCATCGCCCCACTCAGTGTTATTAACACATCCGTTTCATTTTAGTCTGCAAGTGACCTTTAAGGCTATCCCACATATGATTACACAAAGTGACGGTAAGTTCACCAGTGCGTCAACAGCACTATACACCACTCAAAAAAATTAAAGTTAAATAAATAGGCTATCAAGCAACCATTTTGGTTCTTTACTATCGAAACTAGATGAATTCTCGTGAACCCCCACTTACAACTCGTGGACCCCCATATTTTTTTCGCGCCAACGTAGACCCGTGTCGAGTCTACCGTGGACCCCTGGGGGATGGACTTGGGCGAGCCTAAGATATTGACCAAAAATTCTCATCATTCACACAGATTGTTTTAAGAGCATTATGAACCATATTTTGCTATTACCAATCAAAATTCTAAAAAGTGGATTTTCGGCCCACGCTAATGTAGATATATGTATGTATGGCGGTCGCTCTGGTGTAGTGGTTAGAAGTGCTCGCTACCATTCCGCAGGGCTTGGGCTCAATCCCAGTTTGCGACTAACATCAAAAACAAAAAAGGTACAGTTTTTTTTCTACTCACCATCAAAGTGCACGCTTCAAATTGCAGGAGCCGCCCGTTGCGTTGTCAACCTCTGCCATCATGGTAATTCCAACTGTACTTAAAAATGTAACAAGTTTATTGAAATTTTACAGAAATTATCACTTTAAAAAGTTATAAGGTTAGGGGTCATTCGAGGATCGAGATTGTATACATACGTTTTAATTATAGTTCTAAAACTCTATTTTTTTTTTCTTTTTTAAATGAAAAATTACGAATTCGTTTTGCACGTTTTTAGAACATTTATGGCATTGAAGAGACGCATTTTTTTTTTGTATGTGAGCAACTTTCAAAAATTTTTCGATTTTTATAGTGGATTGACCATTAAAATTTATTGAAGTTGTGTAAAATTTAATAAAATAAAAAAAAACTTTTTAATATACCACGCTTTTATATATGGACTAAAATTAGAAAATAATATTTCTCAGTCCTATAGAATTTCTTTTGATAATTTTTGATTTTGAAATTGGAGCAAAAGTCATTATAAACAATTTATGAGATTGAAAACGAAAAACGTAGAGCGCATGCAGGAAAACTGTTGGTTGGGGCTGAGATTTTTTTTAATGTAAATTTTATTAGAAATGTTAAAATAAAGAAATTAAAAATTTATAATAATTTACCTCATTAATTTTTCTCTTTTTAGCCGACTTCGAAAAAAAGAGGAGGTTATCAATTCATGGGAATATTTTTTTTATGTATGTTACCGCATAACTTTGGACCACATCAACCGATTTCGACAATTCTTTTTCTGGTGCCTCAGGGGAGGTCCCATACTAATTTAGATCCGATCATTGGATTATGAATAAATTAACGGTACTTCTAAATTTTTTATTTGAGAATTGAAGTCGGCTTTGGTTTGGCTTAAAAAATACTTGTTATTGTAACAATTGAGAGTTAAAATGAAAATTTTTTAGTTACTTTAATTGCATGAACATTTTAAAATGCGACTTCGTCTTTATACAAAAATCGTAACTTGCATTATTTTTACCCGACTTCAAAAAAAGGAGGAGGTTATCTATTTGTCGGAATATTTTTTTTTATGTACATATGTTACCGCATACGCGATTTCGATAATTCTTTTTTAAAGCAAAGGTGGTACCTCAGAGGTGGCCCCATCCTAATTTGGTTTAGATCCAATTATTGGATCATGAAGAATTGAAGTCGGTTTTGTTTTTTGCTAAAAAAAATACTTTTTTATTTA